TGTCTCGTCCACAGGTACGTTGGTAAACAGCGATTCTACGTCCAACGAGGCTCTTATCCCTGTGGCCCGTGTGCCCCGCAGTAAGTCCACAAATTCCTTTGGAGACTTCAGGCTGAAGGCGCAAGGAACATAAGGAGTCAGCAGGCCGTTGAGTCGCTTCGCCAGTCTGTACGTGGGTGTGGGTATCTGGCTAATGATTGGCTGAAGTGGGTTTCCAGGCTTGTGCGTCTTGACATTTCCATACGCATATCCAGGTTTATATTCCCCAATGATCTTTGGCAGGTGGAGTCCGGATTTCTTGGCGTTCACAGTTTCGATCAGTTTGTTGACCGACGAAGAACTCTGTAGGGTAAGGCAGGTCCTAGTCAATAACGGCTTCTCCAATGGTTTCATCGAAGACATCATAAGAAGGAAAGTGAAAAGCCATGCAACCTCTGAAGAGACAACTAACACAACACCTATACCCCCTATAAGACTATTTTACAGGAACTTCTTTTCCAAGCCAATTATTGCACAACTATATTCTACCCACCTCAAGACTCCGCTCCAATATAGAAGCATCAAGAAATATGGACCAATAGGCTTTCTACAAACACTTCTATTCAATACCCATTGTTTCTGTTCTGTCTTGTGTTGATACTTTAATACCCTATTAATATCACCTCTTGTTCTGTCTTGTGTTAATGCCACATCACCCCTCCCACCTCACTCAAATGTAGATATAAAATCAGAGATACGTAAGTTCTAATCAGTTGTGTATTTGTGAAGTCTTTGAAAATGTAATAAGTTTTACGAAACGCGCCCGTGTCGCGTCAGACTAGAAATAAAAATGAATTTTGGAGAAGTGATTTTTGATTTACCTCCAACAGTGAAGCGTAATGTACGAAAGATTGAGAAAATTCGTGTTAGAATTATTAATCTTACTTTTTCGGTCATATTTAATAATATATGTCTACAGGAAAGACTGCTACCAAAATATACTAATATATATATATATATATATATATATATATATATATATATATATATATATATATATATATATATATATATATATATATATATATGTCGTACCTAGTAGCCAGAACGCACTTCTCGGCCTACTATGCAAGGCCCGATTTGCCTAATAAGCCAAGTTTTCCTGAATTAATATATTTTCTAGAGTTTTTTTCTTATGAAATGATAAAGCTACCCATTTCATTATGTATGAGGTCAATTTTTTTTTATTGGAGTTAAAATTAACGTAGATATATGACCGAACCTAACCAACCCTACCTAACCTAACCTAACCTATCTTTATAGGTTAGGTTAGGTTAGGTAGCCGAAAAAGTTAGGTTAGGTTAGGTTAGGTAGTCGAAAAAGCATTAATTCATGAAAACTTGGCTTATTAGGCAAATCGGGCCTTGCATAGTAGGCTGAGAAGTGAATATATATATATATATATATATATATATATATATATATATATATATATATATAAATATATATATATATATATATATATATATATATATATATATATATATATATATATATATATATATATATATATATATATATATATATATATATATATATATATATATATATATATATATATTTATATATAACTTGCATGAACCAAAAGCGACTCCACTCGTGAAAGGTTCAAACGTTAGACTGACAGGTGTAGTGAACACACTGACAAGTCCAGTACCCTGACCAAATGGCTAACCGACTGTTAAAAGTCATTGGTAGCTGTAGGCTATTTCTTCCAATGACCCAACACCAACTCGGCACCCACAGACCAGGAGTTCGTTTCCATTGACACAATTCACTTATTTGAGAGAAAACGAGCCCCATTTTATGACAGTAACTTGTTGACAGTAAGTTGCTGTTGGGTCATTGGAAGAAATAGCCTAAGGCTACATATGACTTTCAACAGTCGGGTTTAATTCAACAAAACGAATCAAATTATAAAAATTATAGGCCCTCCATATTGACCTACTGGAGGTGAACTTGCCATAGGCCTCTTATATTCAATACATTATATTTAACAGAAACATCTGTAAAGATATATAGTTATTGTGATCCAGAGAGATTTTACTCTCATTTATATATGGTTTAATACCTATTACGTACGAATATGGAATATGTGTGTTTCCCATCCGTGGGGACGTGGACAGTGAACACTGCTCCATACGTCTAAACGTGTGTCCCATCCGTGGGGACGTGGACAGTGAACACTGCTCCATACGTCTAAATGTGTGTGTCCCATCCGTGGGGACGTGGACAGTGAACACTGCTCTATACGTCTAAATGTGTGTGTCCCATCCGTGGGGACGGGGACAGTGAACACTGCTCCATACGTCTAAATGTGTGTCCCATCACTGCTGACGGGGACAGTGAACATTGAGTGAGTGTGACACAGCAGCCAATCCAATACTCTGACGTGTGTGTATGTGTCTTCCCTCCAGGTGGCCATTGCTCAAGGCATGAGTGATACATTGGTGGCGATCTTCCCCAAGCTAAGTCTACCCGTCGCCACCGGGGAGTGCTATCCTCGCGTCACTCACAGCGAATCATTCGCAAAGTTGTACATGAAGCTGTTTGCCAAGAGCGCAGACAGCAGAGCGCTCGACGACACCCAGCTCTACCCGTACCCGCTCCAGCAGTCTGTCTACGTCAAAGACTTCCCCTGTCCTTGTCACATTCTCATCACCATGAGAGATCACTTTCGCCAGGAGTTCACCTTCAACCAGCGGGTTCTGCGTAAAGCTAAGGTCCAGGTGGCTGCCGCTCTACAAGCACTGAACACGGCCCTGAGGGACGCCACCATAGTCACCGTCCACGTCCGCAGGACCGACTACCTCGCTCACGTCAAAAACTACTACAAACAAAGTCCTGTCAAAGATGTGTATTATCAACGGGCGTTTAACTTCTTCAGGAACAGGTGAGGGGAGACGTTGAGTTGTTTCACTGTGTGATGACCTGTTGTGTGTAGCAGTGTGATGACCTGTCGTGTGTAGCAGTGTGATGACCTGTCGTGTGTAGCAGTGTGATGACCTGTCGTGTGTAGCAGTGTGATGACCTGTCGTGTGTAGCAGTGTGATGACCTGTCGTGTGATGACCTGTTGTGTGTAGCAGTGTGATGACCTGTCGTGTGATGACCTGTTGAGTGTAGCGTGTGATGACCTGTTGTGTGTAGCAGTGTGATGACCTGTCGTGTGTAGCGTGTGATGACCTGTTGTGTGTAGCGTGTGATGACCTGTTATGTGTAGCAGTGTGATGACCTGTCGTGTGATGACCTGTTGTGTGTAGCAGTGTGATGACCTGTCGTGTGTAGCGTGTGATGACCTGTTGTGTGTAGCGTGTGATGACCTGTTATGTGTAGCAGTGTGATGACCTGTCGTGTGTAGCAGTGTGATGACCTGTTGTGTGTAGCAGTGTGATGACCTGTCGTGTGTAGCAGTGTGATGACCTGTTGTGTGTAGCGTGTGATGACCTGTTATGTGTAGCAGTGTGATGACCTGTTGTGTGATGACCTGTTGTGTGTAGCAGTGTGATGACCTGTTGTGTGATGACCTGTCGTGTGTAGCAGTGTGATGACCTGTCGTGTGTAGCAGTGTGATGACCTGTTGTGTGATGACCTGTTGTGTGTAGCAGTGTGATGACCTGTCGTGTGAGGACCTGTTGTGTGTAGCAGTGTGATGACCTGTCGTGTGATGACCAGTAGAGTGTAGCAGTGTGATGACCTGTCGTGTGTAGCAGTGTGATGACCTGTTGTGTGATGACCTGTTGAGTGTAGCAGTGTGATGACCTGTCGTGTGTAGCAGTGTGATGACCTGTTGTGTGATGACCTGTTGAGTGTAGCAGTGTGATGACCTGTTGTGTGTAGCAGTGTGATGACCTGTCGTGTGAGGACCTGTTGTGTGTAGCAGTGTGATGACCTGTCGTGTGTAGCAGTGTGATGACCTGTCGTGTGTAGCAGTGTGATGACCTGTTGTGTGATGACCTGTTGAGTGTAGCAGTGTGATAACCTGTCGTGTGTAGCAGTGTGATGACCTGTCGTGTGTAGCAGTGTGATGACCTGTTGTGTGATGACCTGTTGAGTGTAGCAGTGTGATGACCTGTTGTGTGTAGCAGTGTGATGACCTGTCGTGTGAGGACCTGTTGAGTGTAGCAGTGTGATGACCTGTCGTGTGTAGCAGTGTGATGACCTGTTGTGTGATGACCTGTTGTGTGTAGCAGTGTGATCACCTGTCGTGTGTAGCAGTGTGATGACCTGTTGTGTGTAGCAGTGTGATGACCTGTTGTGTGATGACCTGTTGAGTGATGACCTGTTGAGTGTAGCGTGTGATGACCTGTCGTGTGTAGCAGTGTGATGACCTGTTGTGTGATGACCTGTTGAGTGTAGCAGTGTGATGACCTGTCGTGTGTAGCAGTGTGATGACCTGTTGTGTGATGACCTGTTGAGTGAAGCAGTGTGATGACCTGTTGTGTGTAGCAGTGTGATGACCTGTCGTGTGAGGACCTGTTGTGTGTAGCAGTGTGATGACCTGTCGTGTGTAGCAGTGTGATGACCTGTCGTGTGTAGCAGTGTGATGACCTGTTGTGTGATGACCTGTTGAGTGTAGCAGTGTGATAACCTGTCGTGTGTAGCAGTGTGATGACCTGTCGTGTGTAGCAGTGTGATGACCTGTTGTGTGATGACCTGTTGAGTGTAGCAGTGTGATGACCTGTTGTGTGTAGCAGTGTGATGACCTGTCGTGTGAGGACCTGTTGAGTGTAGCAGTGTGATGACCTGTCGTGTGTAGCAGTGTGATGACCTGTTGTGTGATGACCTGTTGTGTGTAGCAGTGTGATCACCTGTCGTGTGTAGCAGTGTGATGACCTGTTGTGTGTAGCAGTGTGATGACCTGTTGTGTGATGACCTGTTGAGTGATGACCTGTTGAGTGTAGCGTGTGATGACCTGTCGTGTGATGACCTGTTGAGTGTAGCGTGTGATGATCTGTCGTGTGATGACCTGTTGTGTGTAGCGTGTGATGACCTGTCGTGTGATGACCTGTTGAGTGTAGCGTGTGATGACCTGTTGTGTGTAGCGTGTGATGACCTGTCGTGTGATGACCTGTTGAGTGATGACCTGTTGAGTGTAGCGTGTGATGACCTGTCGTGTGATGACCTGTTGAGTGTAGCGTGTGATGACCTGTCGTGTGATGACCTGTTGTGTGTAGCGTGTGATGACCTGTCGTGTGATGACCTGTTGAGTGTAGCGTGTGATGAGATGACCTGTTGTGTGTAGCGTGTGATGACCTGTCGTGTGATGACCTGTTGAGTGTAGCGTGTGATGACCTGTCGTGTGATGACCTGTTGAGTGTAGCGTGTGATGACCTGTCGTGTGCTGACCTGTTGAGTGTAGCGTGTGATGACCTGTCGTGTGATGACCTGTTGTGTGTAGCAGTGTGATGACCTGTCGTGTGTAGCAGTGTGATGACCTGTCGTGTGATGACCTGTTGAGTGTAGCGTGTGATGACCTGTCGTGTGATGACCTGTTGTGTGTAGCAGTGTGATGACCTGTCGTGTGATGACCTGTTGAGTGTAGCGTGTGATGACCTGTCGTGTGTAGCAGTGTGATGACCTGTTGTGTGTAGAAGTGTGATGACCTGTTGTGTGTAGCAGTGTGATGACCTGTCGTGTGATGACCTGTTGTGTGTAGCGTGTGATGACCTGTTGTGTGTAGCAGTGTGATGACCTGTTGTGTGTAGCAGTGTGGTGACCTGTCGTGTGATGACCTGTTGTGTGTAGCAGTGTGATGACCTGTTGTGTGTAGCAGTGTGATGACCTGTCGTGAGTAGCAGTGTGATGACCTGTCGTGTGTAGCAGTGTGATGACCTGTCGTGTGTAGCAGTGTGTTGACCTGTTGTGTGTAGCAGTGTGATGACCTGTTGAGTGTAGCGTGTGATGACCTGTCGTGTGTAGCAGTGTGATGACCTGTTGTGTGATGACCTGTCGTGTGTAGCAGTGTGATGACCTGTTGTGTGATGACCTGTCGAGTGATGACCTGTTGAGTGTAGCGTGTGATGACCTGTCGTGTGTAGCAGTGTGATGACCTGTCGTGTGTAGCAGTGTGATGACCTGTTGTGTGTAGCAGTGTGATGACCTGTCGTGTGTAGCAGTGTGATGACCTGTTGTGTGTAGCAGTGTGATGACCTGTCGTGTGTAGCAGTGTGATGACCTGTCGTGTGTAGCAGTGTGATGACCTGTTGTGTGTAGCAGTGTGATGACCTGTCGTGTGTAGCAGTGTGATGACCTGTCGTGTGTAGCGTGTGATGACCTGTTGTGTGTAGCAGTGTGATGACCTGTTGTGTGTAGCAGTGTGATGACCTGTCGTGTGATGACCTGTCGTGTGTAGCAGTGTGATGACCTGTCGTGTGTAGCAGTGTGATGATCTGTTGTGTGTAGCAGTGTGATGACCTGTTGTGTGTAGCAGTGTGATGACCTGTCGTGTGTAGCGTGTGATGACCTGTTGTGTGTAGCGTGTGATGACCTGTTGTGTGTAGCGTGTGATGACCTGTTGTGTGTAGCAGTGTGATGACCTGTTGTGTGTAGCAGTGTGATGACCTGTTGTGTGTAGCAGTGTGATGACCTGTTGTGTGTAGCGTGTGATGACCTGTTGTGTGTAGCGTGTGATGACCTGTTGTGTGTAGCAGTGTGATGACCTGTTGTGTGTAGCGTGTGATGACCTGTCGTGTGTAGCGTGTGATGACCTGTTGTGTGTAGCAGTGTGATGACCTGTCGTGTGTAGCAGTGTGATGACCTGTCGTGTGTAGCAGTGTGATGACCTGTTGTGTGTAGCAGTGTGATGACCTGTTGTGTGTAGCAGTGTGATGACCTGTCGTGTGTAGCAGTGTGATGACCTGTTGTGTGTAGCAGTGTGATGACCTGTCGTGTGTAGCAGTGTGATGACCTGTTGTGTGTAGCAGTGTGATGACCTGTCGTGTGTAGCAGTGTGATGACCTGTTGTGTGTAGCAGTGTGATGACCTGTCGTGTGTATCGTGTGATGACCTGTTGAGTGTAGCGTGTGATGACCTGTCGTGTGTAGCAGTGTGATGACCTGTCGTGTGATGACCTGTCGTGTGTAGCAGTGTGATGACTTGTCGTGTGATGACCTGTTGAGTGTAGCAGTGTGATGACCTGTTGAGTGTACCAGTGTGATGACCTGTCGTGTGATGACCTGTTGAGTGTAGCGTGTGATGACCTGTTGAGTGTAGCAGTGTGATGACCTGTTGTGTGATGACCTGTCGTGTGTAGCAGTGTGATGACTTGTCGTGTGATGACCTGTTGAGTGTAGCAGTGTGATGACCTGTCGTGTGTAGCAGTGTGATGACCTGTTGTGTGATGACCTGTCGTGTGTAGCAGTGTGATGACCTGTTGTGTGATGACCTGTCGAGTGATGACCTGTTGAGTGTAGCGTGTGATGACCTGTCGTGTGTAGCAGTGTGATGACCTGTTGTGTGTAGCAGTGTGATGACCTGTCGTGTGTAGCAGTGACCTGTTGTGTGATGACCTGTTGTGTGTAGCAGTGTGATGACCTGTCGTGTGTAGCAGTGTGATGACCTGTTGTGTGTAGCAGTGTGATGACCTGTCGTGTGTAGCGTGTGATGACCTGTTGTGTGTAGCAGTGTGATGACCTGTCGTGTGTAGCAGTGTGATGACCTGTTGTGTGTAGCAGTGTGATGACCTGTCGTGTGTAGCAGTGTGATGACCTGTTGTGTGATGACCTGTTGTGTGTAGCAGTGTGATGACCTGTCGTGTGTAGCAGTGTGATGACCTGTTGTGTGTAGCAGTGTGATGACCTGTTGTGTGTAGCAGTGTGATGACCTGTCGTGTGTAGCAGTGTGATGACCTGTTGTGTGTAGCAGTGTGATGACCTGTCGTGTGTAGCAGTGTG